AAAAAACTATCTTTGATCCATTGGCTTACCTGTCACTGGTTGAAAATTAGTTGAGCAGGTACATGTGAGTCAACTTCTACACTCCCTAATCAGTTCCTTTGATGCATGTGTCTATCTGTATACCAATAGCTCATTACTTTGACTATTAGAAGTTTAGTAAGAGTTAAAATCAGGTAGCGTTAAATTCTTAACCCTTTTTCTTTTCCAAAATAGTACTATTCTAGGTGCTTTTAATTTCCTTTTCTTTTTTTTTTTTTTGACACAGAGTCTCGCTCCGCTGCCAGGCTGGAGTGCAGTGGCGTGATGCCAGCTCACTGAAACTTCCGTTTTCCGGTCAAGCAATTCTCCTGCCTCAGCTGCCCGAGTAGCTGGGATTAGAGGCACGCACCACCATGCCCAGCTAATTTTTTGTACTTTTAGTAGAGACGGGGTTTCACCATGTTGGCCAGGATGGTCTCCATCTCTTGACCTTGTGATCTGCCCACCTTGGCCTCCCAAAGTGCTGGGATTACAGGTGTGAGCCATCGTGCCTGGCAACTTTTAATTTTCATATAAATTTTAGAATCAGCTTGTCAGTTTCTATGAAAAAATTACTTTGTTGAGTCTAAAGATCAATTTGGAAACAAGTGACATTTTATCATTATTGAATCTTCTTATCCATGAATATTGTTTGCTTCTCCATTTATTTATTTAAGTCTTTTTCTTTTTTTTAAAAGATGGGGTTTCACCATGTTGGCCAGGCTGGTCTTGAACTCCTGACCTCAGGTGATCCATCCACCTCGGCCTCCCAAAGTGCTAAGATTAGGTATGAGCCACCACACCCGGCCTATTTAAGTCTTTTTATTTCTCTCTGCTATGTTTCATACTTTCTCAGCATACATATCTTGATTATACTTTGTTAAGCTTATTGCTAGGTATATCAGATATTTAATTTGTGTATGTGTGATGTAAATGTGAAGTTAAAAATACTTTTTTATTTTCCAATTGTTTGGAAATACTGTTGATGTTTAAATATTACCTCTATCTTGCAACTTTGCTAAGCCTTCTTATTAGTTGTAGTAATTCTAGTAGCTTTTTCATATTTCTGGCAGAATCTTCTATATAGACAGTTTTTTTCTAAAAAACTATTTATTTGTATATGTAATTGTATACAGTATACATAATTGTATACAAATAAACAGTTTTTCTTCTTTTCCAATTTGGATGACTTTTCTTGCACTGGCTATGCCTTCTAGTACAATGCTGAATAGGAGTAGTTCAGAGTGACTCTCCTTGCCCTGCTCCTCATCTCAGGAAATGTCCTATTTTTCACCATTAAGTATGATGTTAGGCTGTAGGTTTTTCATAGATTAAAAAAAATCAGATTAAGAAAGTTCATTTTTTCTTGGAGTTTTTATCTGGAATGAGTGTTAAATTTTGCCAAATACTTTATTTTACATCTATTGAGATGAGCATAAGGTTTTACTCTTTTAATAAAATAAAAGAGTAATATGATGAATTACAATGATTAATTTTCAAATGTTAAACTAACCTTGAATTCCTGGGATAAACCCCACTTGATCATGATATATTATCCTTTTAAAATATTGTTTGATTTGTGTTGCTCATATTTTGTTAAGAATTTTTGACTTTATGTCCATGAATAATATTAGCTATAGTTTTATTTTCTTATAATGTCTTTGTTTTTAGTACCAGAGCAATACTGGCCTCATAAAATGGAAAAGAAATGTTCCTTGATTTCTATTTTATAAAAACATTTGTGTAGGATTGGTATTATTTCTTCCTTAAGTATTTGTTAGAATTCATAAGAGAAGCCATCGAGACCTGGACTTGTATTTGTGAGAAGATTTTAAACTAAAATTGAATTTCCTTAATAGATATAAACACTTCTCTTCTTCCTCCTGTTTCTTCTAATGCCAGTTTTGGTAATCTGTGCCTTTTGAGCAGTGTGACCACTTACCTAATTTTTCAAATGTATTGGTATATAGGTGTTCATACTCTTCCCTATCACTCTTTTAGTGTTTGTATGATTTGTGATGATGTTCCGCCTTTCATTCCTGATTTTGGTGATTTGTGTCTTCTTGGTCAGTCTAGAGTCTTAGCAATTTTACTCTTTTAATCTTCTCAACGAGCCAGTTTTGCTTTCATTGGTTACCTCTATTGTTTGCCATTTTCAATTTCTTTTTACAAGAGAGAAAATAGTAGTGATAATTTACCCTTTGTCTCAGTGGTGACCAATATTAGATAACCACACGAATGTTAATACCGACTCAAGAACACACAACTAAAAGTTATCATGTAACCCTATTTGGAGTAGGAAAGTGGAGGAAGAGGAGTAGTTTATGAAAACAATATTCTTATCTTCCTAATAGGAAGTCAGTAATACGCTAAAATAGATTAATCAACAAGTTGCAGAATAAATATAACATTTTGAAATGTGAAAGTAAATCCTGGAAGAAAGAGAGCAAGGAAAGGAAAATGGTAGTATTCAGCAAGTAAAACTGGGGAGTTAGGTCAGGGACTTTATTTTTCATATTGAGTATTTGACTTAAACTATATGACTGTTGTGTTGATAAAATAAAAATTAAACTAACACTTCAATACCAGAATGGAAGAAGTATGGCTGGAAAACAAGATTGGAGGGGCTGCTGCCCTTGTTACTGGTGTCCTGGGTAAAGGAAGAAACAGAGTCAATGAGCCTGGGAGAGGATACAGACATGATCTCGGGGAGTATGGCCTGATTCTGAGTAGTGCTGAAAGCTGCCTTTTGTTTTCAGTTATTTAAAAAAATCTCTGCATTTGTTTTATTCTGATGGAATTATTATAAATGTGAAGTTTAAAGCCTGTTGTAATTGAATTAGGAATTGCCACATAAATATGTCCTTAACATCATATTAAATAGTTCTTTAGAGTTTACAAGGAGATTTCCTAAACATTACTTTATTTAAACATCACTTTAGCCCTGTGAGCCCAGTGTTATTACAGGCAGCATCTTCACTTTGTAGCTGTGTTTCAGTTAAAAGATCTGCTCAAGGTCACACTGGTGGTAAGTACCCAGGGGTGGACTCCAAACTCATTACTTTCACTAAGAACTCCGTAATATACATAGTTAAATCACAAAACAATTTTAAGCATGTTGATTTATTTATCTGCTTGTTTTCATAACTATAACCCGATTATCTGAACGGTTGGTAGCAGAATGGAACATATATTGATGTTGCCTTTAATAGATTTGAATATCCGTGTAGCAATTGCTTGCTGCATGACCTTGGGAACATTATTTATCTAAGCCTCTTTTTCTCCACCTGAAAAAGGATATTGCTACCTTTTTCATAAGGCTGTTCTTAAGAGTTAATGTAAGTAAAATGCTTACGACAGTACCTAGAAGTTAGTATGGACTCAATAATAGCTATACAAATAACTAAGAGTATTTAATAATTCATGCTTGCTAATTTTTGTATATGAGAACAGCAATATTGACTCACTATCAAAATGATGATATTGAATTCTTCTAGTAAAATGCTCAGTTAAAAAAGTGATGAATTCATATGTTAACATCAAAGTTAAACTGAAATTACACCTTCCTAGTAATGTGAGTCACTAAGAATCATAGTACATAGATATAAATCCTGCTTTTGTAAAATAGCATATATGCAGAGAAAAATGTGGGTAAGTAGACATCAAACAAGTAACAGTGGTTATCTCTAAGGATTGGGATCATGGTAGGGGTGCATTGATGTAATTTATTGTTTTTAGTGCCTTTTTTTTTTTTTATTTTTTGAGACGGAGTTTTGCTCTTGTTACCCAGGCTGGAGTGCAATGGCGCGATCTTGGCTCACCGCGACCTCCGCCTCCTGGGTTCAGCAATTCTCCTACCTCAGCCTCCTGAGTAGCTGGGATTACAGGCACACGCCACCACGCCCAGCTAATTTTTTGTATTTTTAGTAGAGACGGGGTTTCACCATGTTGATCAGGACGGTCTCGATCTCTTGACCTCGTGACCCATCCGCCTCAGCCTCCCAAAGTGCTGGGATTACAGGCTTGAGCCACCGCACCCGGCCTTTTTTTCTTGTTACGGAGTTTCGCTCTTGTTACCCAGGCTGGAGTGCAATGGCGTGATCTCGGCTCCTGCAACCTCTGCCTCCTGGGTTCAGGCCATGCTCCTGCCTCAGCCTCTTGAGTAGCTGGGATTACAGGCACGCACCACCATGCCCAGCTAATTTTTTTTTTTTGTATTTTTAGTAGAGACGGGGTTTCACATGTTGACCAGAATGGTCTCGATCTCTTGACCTCGTGATCCACCCGCCTCAGCCTCCCAAAGTGCTGGGATTACAGGCGTGAGCCACCGCGCCCGGCGTTTTTAGTGCTTTTTAAAAAATAGAAAGGATATACTACTTTTATTATCCGAAAAAGTATGATTTAAAAATGATTATGTAAAAAAAATAAGCTTTACTGAAACCACAGCGTTATCAGAAATGTTTGACATGACTTGCCCCACACTGGCTTCTAGTGAAATGCTCTGAGATCGTCCTCAGGATTGACATCTGCTGACAGGTTTCTAGTTGTAGGATTTCCAAAAGCACCAATGAACCATAGAATTTACATCTGGTTTCCATGTAGGAGGTGTGTTCTGTGGGGCTCCCTGGGCTTGGTGGGCAGAACGCTTTAGGAATAGAGAAAATTTGTCGTCTTTAAAGGAGAGATTTCACTGCTGGTCTTTGCAGCTATGACCTATGACCGGCTGTGGACATTACAGTAGTCAAAGCCATTTTAATTAAACATATTTATAAGCAGAATTAAAAAGGGACTGTGGCTGTTATCTCACGCCCCAAGATGGCATTCAAGCTTTGCCTTTTCAGTTATTTCTAAAGTTACTTCTAAAACCAAGGCCGCACTCAATTTTAATCTTTCTCTGCCTTTCCTGCCCATCCGGGGTCTAGCCAACGCTCCCTTCCTCAACTCCAGCTCCATCTCTCCACGTTTTTCCTCTGCCCGGTTCTCCCGGGAGCGGGAGGGGGTGGGGAGAGGCGACTTTGGCGTCCACAGCAGCACGAGCTGAGCGGCGGTTTCCTGCCTCCCTCGGCGGCCTTGGCTCCGAGGGTGCCCGGCTGCCTAGCGTCCCGCTGTGTCCAGGGCGTTCAGACCTCACCTTCCTAAGGTCCTAAAGATCTCCTTATTCTCCAGAGTGGCACTCTCTCTACCAACGAGGACACCTTGAGAGTGTTGGTCCCGGCTAGAGGCGCCTCTGTACCTGTGAGTTTAAAGAAAAGCCATAAAGCCAATTGCCCACACCGTCAGCAAATGGACCCTGCCTATGCGATGCCCTTGGCTTTTATTTCAGGAGTGATCAGAAGCTGGCTGCCGCCCTGGTGGCAGGTGTGAGCTGACTGTCACTTATTGTCTGGGTAGCAGTTTATGACATCTGTGTGGATTTCACTCTCAACCTTTACACTCACTTGAATAACAAACTGGGAAAGAGATGACTCCCGGGAAGAACCCCCCCCGCCCCCGCAATTTTTTGTTTGTTTGTTGTTGTGGTTTTGAGACGGGTCTCTCTTGCTCTGTTGCCCAGGCTGGAGTGCAGTGGCGCCATCTCGGCTCTCTGTAACCTCTGCCTCCTGGATTCAAAGGATTCTCCCATCCCAGCTTCTGAAGTAGCTGGGATTACAGGCATCCGCCATCATGCCTGCATAATTTTTGTATTTTTAGTAGAGATGTTTTTAGTAGAGGTGTGGTTTTGCCATATTGAACTCCCGCCCTCAGATGATCCTCCCATCTAGGCCTCCCGAAGTGCTGGGATTATTGGCATGAGCCACCAAGCCTGGCCAAGAACCCCCTTTCAAAGGAATTGAGAACATGAATGTCATAGGCCATGTTCTGAGAAAAGGGAACCTTATGAGATTATTTATGACAAATTCGGAGGAATTAGTTTTCTGATGGGTCATTGGAAACGTGGGTGGGAGACAAAGTCTGTTCCAAAGTCTTCCAGGCCAAGGTCATAGAAAAACTTGTGCATGTGTTGAGTACTTGGCCCCATTCAACGTTGCTTTGAATATAGTTCCCTATATACAAGGAATCCTATGGGCATCTTCTGTGATGAGATAGGATGTGGCTCAGGCTTTAATTTTTATGACAAAACTGTAACCTGGATATTTTTCTCCTCTAAGTACCTGGAGCGTATGGGTTCCTTTCTAACCAGTAAGAGTCCTTATTTTCTGACAAGGGTATAAAACCTGGTCATTTAGAGTGTATCAGGCCAGGTGCAGTGGCTGACACCTGTAATTCCAGCATTTTGGGAGGTCGAGGTGGGAGGATCCCTTGAGCCCAGGAGTTTAAGACCAGCCTGGGAAATATAGTGAGATACCATTGCTACCAAAAAAAGAGAAAATATTAGCCAGACGGGGTGGCAGGAGTCTGTAGTCGCAGCTACTCAAAAGGCTGAGGTGGGAGGATCACTTGAGACTGGGAGGTTGAGGTTACAGTGACCTGTGATCACACCACTGCACTGCAGCCTGGGCAACACAGCAAGATCCTCTCTCAAAAAAAAAAATAGTGTGAAGAAGAAAAAGAGCATATTTGAAGTCATACAACCTAGAGTCAGACACTCAGTTCTGCCACATATCACTGACAACATTTAACATGTCTGTTCCTTAGTCTTCCTGTTTGTAAGTCGGTGTAAGAATAGTGCCTACCCATATGGTGGTTGTGAAGAATAGTGAAATGGCGTGTGTCAAGCACTCCAGATCTTACCTTGTGCCTGCAGGTGGTACAAGGGAGGCACAGCAGAAGCAGGCTTTGTTTTTGGTTTGCTTCTTGTTAGTGATGGTACATGTTCGGCTCCTGCCAAAATCCATGAAGAACAATGGTCTTTGAAAGTAATGATGGTAACAATCACTAACGTTTACTGGTTATCTACTATGTGCATGGCCTTACTCATTTGGGTCTCACCACAAGCCTAGGCGAAGAAGCCCAGAGTCGGTACCATCCACCCATTCCCTGGTCTATTCCCTATGCTTGCTCTGATGAGATGAGCACAAAGCGGGCTGTGGAGGAGAAAGTTACTTCCCAGGCCATAAGGTACCCTTATGTCTTCAACCCTTATTGAGGTTGTTGTGAGAAACAGCCATGTGACAACATCTCTAATGGTGTTCTTTAGCTGTTATTGACTATGGAGCATTTCATTGCCTAGGGGCCTTTAGGAAAACCATATGTCATAAATTCCTTTTGGAGTTAAAGATTGTTTCTCTTGATGGTTTCTTGGGCTTCCTTTTATTAGACAGATGTCTTTGTCTAATGCCTAGAGATTCTGATTCAGTGCGTTTGAGTAGGGTCAGATGACCAGACTTTGAAAATCCCCCGCCCTTTGAGTCTGAGGCACAGCCAGGGCTGGGAACCCTTCCTGTGGTTCTTCATCAGCTCCCCATGTGTTCCCTGATTGGTGTCATAAAGCTAAGATTTGTGCTCCTTTCCCCTAGGTTTTCTGATAGAATTTCTACAACCTTTTCATGTCTTGTCTCTTGTTCTTTTATTTACTTTCATTTAATATTTTTAGAGTTCACATATTGTTTATTGCAAAATGCCTTGTCTGCTTTCAGCATAAAAACAAAATGAATAAAAGAATGGGTATCATTGTCCATTTAAAGTTTTCCAACAGGATTTTCCTTAAAACACCTCCTTATTCTTTCTTTCTGTCACTCTTCCACCTACTTTGCTGTTTTTAGTTAATTGCTTGACAAAGTAAACATTTATTTACTTTTAAAAGACACTAATGTATTCTAAAGGGAGACTGGCTCTCTCTCAAATGTCTAGAGGCACCATATTTGTGAAGAGAGACTGTTGCAGGTGAAGGAGTTCAACCTTGGGATAATGAGATGGTTGTCTGGAGAGGACCATAATGAGTTCAAAGGAAGGTGCTGGAATAAATACAGACATGGAGGTTGTTAATGCAAGGTAGAGATTGTCTCATCTCATGGCCCTCCCACCCCATTCCGCTGAGGTCAGTTAGTTACGTCCCTTGCTCGCGGTATGTCAACGTGCAGCAATTACTTTGATAACAATGACAGGACTTTAGTGTGATGAACTTGAACTTGGCCTACATCCCTGAATGCTGCATTTACAACCAGCTTTTCTTGCTTGTCAGCAGAATCATTGACTAAAAAGAGGCAATTCCAAACGTTACTGTAAGATTACAACATAACAGGTCTGGACAAATGCACTGTTGAATTCGCGAAGATGACTGACTGGGGTCTGGAGGAAGTGACATTGGCTTCAATGGGGCACTGTAGAGTTACACAGTAGTGCACATGTGACCAGCTGCAGGTGTTTGTTTCATCCTATCTTCTACATAAGAAAAAGAACTTTAAAAAAATCGTTTAGTGTGAAAAATACTCCCGTACCATCAGATTACTAAAATTATCAGACTGATGGAATGGTTTTTAAATTAAATTTTGAGTAATGTTGACAAACCTCTATATTGCTTGATCTGCTGCTCATAGGCATAAGTGATTTACAGCTAAGTTAACCAGCCCTTTCATTCCAGAAGTTGATCTTAATTCAACCATTTATTAATAATTTGAGTGCCCCTCTCTCTGTTTTCTGAAGGAATCAGTTGTTTATACTTTTCAAGTGCCTGCTCAGGGTAAACTTTCACACTAGATGCTGTCACTGTCTTTTGAAAATTTAGCACTGAACTGAGATAATATACCACCTAGGAAAAAATTATTAGCAATACAAAGCAGTGTAAGTTAGCAGTGCTAACAGATGGTAGAAACCCAAGTTGCCAGGAATTGAGAAACAGGCATTACCACATGGGCTGGGGAAAGGAGGGGGTGATTCCTTAGAGATGGAACCTGGTCTGTGGAAAGCCATATCCTTGTATACTATAGGAACCCTCTTCTCCAGCCACCATGGCTGTGCATCTGTGGAATTTTCCTTTACCTCTTACCATCACACCTTTGCCAGTGTCATTTCTTCCACCTAGAATGTCTAACCTTTTTGTTCTCTTAACACAGTTCTCCCCAAGTTTTCAAACACAGGTTATGGAGGTCCTTGTCTTTCTTGTTAGGAGATAATGCAGCTGGTGACCTTAAATTGAGGCAAATGTTTACTTACTATTCTGAAAACCCTAGGGCCCTTAAGAAGTATGCTAAATCAAATCTGCCTGGTGCTCTATACATAGAGTGACAAAGCCTGGATGACCACTCATCTGTTTACAGCATGATATACTGGATATTTTAAGCCCACTGTTGAGATCTACTGCTAAAAAAATTCCTTTTGAAATATTATACACATTGACAATGCACAAGGCCACACAAGAACTCTGATGGAGAGGTACAAGGAGAATGTTTTCATGCCTGCTAACACAACATCCATTCTGCTGCCCATAGATCAAGGAGTATTTTTAACTTTCAATTCTTATTATTTAAGAAATACCCTTTGTAAGGCTACAGGTACCATGGATGTGGCACTGATTCCACTGATGGATATGGGCGAAATAAACTGAAAACCTTCTGTGAGGGATTCACCATCCTAGAAGCCAATAAGAACATTTGTGATTCATGAGAGAAGGTAAAAATCTCAACATTAACAGGAGTTTGAAAGAAGTTGATTTCAGCCATCGTGGATGACTTTGAAGGGTTTAAGACTTCAGTGGAGGAAGTAACTGCAGATGTAATGGAAGCAGCAAGAAAACAAAAATTAGAAGTAGAGTCTAAGATGTGACTGAATTGCTGTAATCTCATGATAAACGCTGAGCAGCTGAGGAGTTGCTTCTATGGATGATCAGAAAAACCGGTTTCTTGAGATGGAATCTATGCCTGGTGAAGATTCCTTGAACATTGTTTGAATAACAATACAGGATTTAGAATATTACATCAACTTAGTTGACAAAACAGTAGCAGAGTTTGAGAGAATTGACTCCAGTTTTGAAAGGAGTCCTGCTGTGGATGAAATGCTACAAAGAAATCTTTCATGATAGGAAGAGTCAACTGATGAGGCAAACTTCATTATTATCTTATTTTGAGAAATTGCCACAGCTTCCCAACCTTCAGCAACCACAACCCTGATCACTCAGTTGCTATCAACATTGAAGCAAGACCTCTGCTGACAAAAAAAATCACAACTGGCTAGAGGCCCAGATCATTAGCATTTGTAGCAATAAAGTATTTTTAAATTAAGGTACATACAGTGCTTTGTTAGACAGAATGCTATCGCAAACAATAGAAAACGGTATAGTGTAAACATAACTTTTTTATGCACTGGAAAACGAAAAATCTTCTGTGATTCACTTTATTATGATATTTGCTTAATTGCAGTGGTCTGGAACTGAACCAACTGTTCAGTTGGTTATACCTCAGAGTAATATCTCTTGTCTGAGGTTGGGGCTAAAGACAAGATAATCAGTGTTAAATTAAGCTGAGTCTAAAGTGGCTTCCTTACATATTTTAAGTTCAGCCTAAAAGTTTTTTCATATATAGTGACCTCTATAAACAGACTGTAACCTACTTGTGTGTCAATAACCAAGTTTTGGCCAATCAGAGGTGACCAATGGTTCAAATTATGCTCAAAGAAGGCGAACGTGCAGCTTCAACTCATCAGCTGTTTCTGTACCTACTACTTCTATTTTCTGTATGTCACTTTGCTTCTTCTATCCATAAATCTTCTTGGACTGAGCCTTGGGCCTGGAGTCCCTCTGAGCCTACTTTGGTTCGGGAGGCTGCCCGATTTGTGAATTGTTCTTTGCTCAATTAAACTCTGTTAAATTTAATTTGTCTAAGATTTTTCTTTTAACAGTTGCCAGTGGCAGAAAATCAAAAGATCTCTTTAGACTCTAGATCCGAGAAATGCCATCTGGGGATAGTTTTGGTTGGCACCACTTGGGGAGTGCTACTAGCATCTACTGATAGAGACCGTAGATGCTGCTAAACATCTCACAACTCCCAGGATGGGACTTCACAACAAGGAATTGTCTGGCCAAAATGTGAATCGTGTTGAGGCTGAGAAACCTTGCACTAGAGGAACTTAGAAGTTATTCATTGACGCCCAGTTAAGGGAAAGTTACTTGGAAAAATTCATCTCAGAGGAAATGAAAACAAAATAGTAAATCTGTTTAACTTACAACATTTCTATCAGAAAATAAGGTTGAAGGAAGAGTTCAGCTTATTTGTTAAAATGTCCCATTGCCAACCCTGGCTGTTTATTCAGTGGGAAGCTGACATTTCTGACTTTGATGAGGCATAACAATGCCAAACAAATGACTTCAGGAAAAGCATGCTCCTGAATCACTGATGCGCAGTATCGTCATCCCTTTAATTTGCTTAGTTTTTCCTTGGTCAGGAGCGCCTCACTTCCCCGGTGTGAGAAGGTTAGGCAATTCTTCCTAGTTCCCATTTCTTTCTGGAGGAAATGTGGCATGCGCAGGCAGGGTTGGGTAGGGGAAGGAGCTCATGATGGAATCCTTAGGGGATGGTGGAACCTTCTGCTGGGATCTTCCCTTCAGAGGGTGTGATCTTGGCTGAGTGGAGGCTATTGGTGAAACTTAACTGTTGTTTTGTGCATTTATAACACATTTATTTTGGGAGATCAGGGTTCAGGATGTTATTTTAACATTATTTTGATGATTAATGTGTAGAATTTACATACTTTTTTTTCCACAGGTGGATTCTTGCTCTGTTACCAGGCTGGAGTGCAGTGACATGATCTCAGCTCACTGTAGCCTCCACCTCCCAGGTTCAAACCATTCTCTTGCCTCAGCCTCCTGAGTAGCTGGGATTACAGGTGCCCGCCACTACACTGAGCTAATTCTTGTGTTTTTAGTAGAGATGGGGTTTCATCATGTTGGCCAGGCTGGTCTCAAACTCCTGACCTCGTGATCAGCCCACCTTGGCCTCCCAAAGTGCTGGGATTACATGCGTGAGCCACAACATGCCTGGCCTTACATGTTTTAATAGTACAAATGATGCATCTCATGTGTTTTATTGGCGAGCCTAATTTTTTACCCATGAAAAATTATTAATTAATTCACCATCAAAGATTTATTGCATGTCAGTTTTATACAGGCAAGCCGCTAGGCACAGTGTCATGGGGACTCAGAGTCTAGTGGGAAAGACAGCCGAGTAAAAAGATAATAGCAATACTGTGTGCTAAGTGCTGTGATGTGACAATTACAGGGCTCTCTGGGAGCATGGTTAAAAGAGGTGCCTTCAGCTGAGACCTGAGACTTGCAGGTTAGTAGGATTTAGCTCTGCAGAGTATAGGGAGCAGCAGGGGCCAGGATGGGAGATGTTATTCCCTGAACAGTGGTAAACATGTTCAAAAGTTCACAGGTTAGGAAAAGAACATGGAGAGTTCAGTGGATTTTTTTTTCTTTTCTTTTTTTCGAGACAGAGTCTTGCTCTATCTCCCAGCCTGGAGTGCAGTGACATGATCTTGGCTCACTGTAACAGCCTCTGCCTCCTGGGTTGAAGCGATTCTTATGCCTCAGTTTCCCAAGTAGCTGGGATTATAGACATGCACCACCATGCTGCTTAATTTTTGTAATTTTAGTAGAGAAGGAGTTTCACCTTGTTGGTTGGGCTGGTCTAGAACTGCTGGTTTCATGTGACCTGCCCACCTCAGCCTCCCAAAGTGCTGGGATTACAGGCATGAGCCACTGCACCTGGCTGAGTTCAGTGGACTTTAAGAGTTGTTTCTAAGATAAAGAATTAGGATTCAGGTGCATATGCAGTGGAAACTTTATTCATTGGACTGATCAACACAGGATCACATGTGGAATAAGGAGCCAACAGGACCCAAGAGGGACACAAACAAGATGGGCAAGAGAAGGGGAGCCAAAATGGACAAAAATTGGCAAAAGAAACTGAAAAGACAGGTGATCAAAATAATTGCGACTCCAATATGCAAAGAACTTTGACAAATCAGTAAGGAAAGAGTGAGCAACCTAGTGGACAAATGGACAGAGGAAATTAAAAAGCATTTCATAAACAAAAGAAAAGATTCTCTACCTTGTTGGTCATCTGGGAAAGGCTAATTAAAGCCACAAAAAGAGATATTGTTTTGCACCCATGAGATTAGCAAATTAAGAATTCTGACCATCCCAAGTATTAGTAAGAATGTGGAGTAACTCTGATATGCTGCCGGTGGGAGTGTAAATTAGTGCAACCACTTTGTAAAAGAATAGGCATTAATAGTAAATACAGCGACACATATATGCTGCATGTTCATAGGTGCCAGGTGGCTTGTAGTATCATGTATAATTTAAGAAACTGGAAATAACCCAAATATCCATTGTTAATAGAATAAATAATATACTTTTGTCTATTCATAAATGGGATTCTATAGAGTAGCGAAAACTAACAAACTACAATTATATGCATGCTATGGGTTGAATTGCGTCTCCTCAGCATTCCTCTGTGGAAGTCCTAGCCCCCAGGACCTCAGGACTGTATCTGGAGATGGGTTCCTTAAAGAGGTGATTGAGTTAAAGTGAGATCATTAGGGTGGCGCCTAATCCAACTTCACTGGTGTCCTTATAAAAAGTGGAGATGAGGACACAGACTCACACAGAAGGAAGACCATGTGGGGACACAGGGAGAAGATGCCATCTGCAAGCTGAGGCAGAGACCCCAGGAGAAACTGACCCTGCCCACACCTAGGGCTCGAAATTCAGCCTCTGGAACTGTGAGAAAATTTCTATTTAAGCCCCGGTCTGTGGTACTTTGTTATGGCAGCTGGAGCAAACTAATACAATGTGCCAACATGAATGGATCTCAAAATTATAACATCTTGGGAAACTTCAAGTCACATAACACTCACAGTGTGATTCCATTTAGGGAATTAAAAAAAAAAAGACACATACTTTAGGGACACACACACACATGCACACACACGCGCACACATGCACGCACACACACACTTAAAGTTTTACTTTCTTACACTCCTTTCAAAAGAAGGAGCTTAATTCCCCTTTTCTTGAGTGTGGGAAGGGGAATTCATGACTCACTTCCAATGAACAGAACAGAGCCCGTGGTAGTGTGTCACTTCTGAGATGAGTCATGAAAGGCAGAGTGGTGATCTCCTTGCTCTCTCTCAGATCACTTGCTCTAGAGGAACCAGGTGCCATATTCGGAGAGCACTCAAATTGGACACACCTTCTGCCCTGCAGTCTTGCTAGAGGCCCACAAAGTTTTGGAGCTGATCAGATTCAAGTGGCTGCTGGTAACCAATAGAATGCAGTTGAATCCACAGAACTTCACTGCTGCCATCTGAAGCGAGGTCAAAAAAAGTCTAGCAGCTTCTGCCTTGGCGTCTTGAAACTCTTGTTCCCAAGACACTGCCTCTTAGAACCCCACAGCCACCATGTGAAAAGCCCAACTCACAGGCAAGACCACCTGTAACCCCACTGGCCAACCCAGCTTCAAGAAGCTTCTGAATGGTTCCAGCCTTTAGTTGTCAAGCCACCCCCATCTGAGTTTTTCTAGCTGAGGCCTCAGACACCATGAAGCAGAAACGAGCTGTGTCCATTGCCCTGTCCAAATGCCTGACCCACGGAAGCAGTGGGCATGGTGAAAATGGCGGCTGGTCCATGCCACTGTGTTGGGATGGCTTGCCAGGCAGCTGTAGAAAACTGGATCAGTAATCATCTCATCCTCGCTTGGTGTCCTTCTTGTCCCTGTCCACCTTTTCCATTCTCCTGCCCAAATTTTTAAGGATCACCTCCTAATAAGTCCCTTTTGTACTAACTTGTGTCTGCTTTGGGGGAACTTTAGCTGAGAGGTCCCTTAATGCCATCTGGCCTGTAAGTTGGGGTGGGGAAAGAAGCAATCAGGACTTTGAAGGAAAAGCATAGATATACCCATGGCTGAGGAAGTCTGACCCAGAAAACAAACACCTGGGTGTGTCCCTGGCTCTGCCGAAGCAGCCTCGGGACATGGGAGTACTGGGGTAAATATAGTCAGGAAGGCTTGGCAGGTGGGAGTAGCTGGTAGGTGGGCCGTGTGGCCTGCCCTTCAAAATACCGGGGAAATTGGTTAAGGGGAAGAGCTGACTTAATTTTTTTTAGGAAAGATGAACAAACAGAGGACGAGGAAGAAAGAGAAGGCAAGGCAAGGAGATGGGCCAAAGCTCTTGAGGTTGCTTTCTGGCCAGCGTTTCATCTGGGAGAACTGCTGATTCACTGAGTTTTTCACCCTCCACGGCTCCTCATTCGGGGAGCTGCTGCCTCAGGAGGCAGGCCTGCTGGAACTGAACCAGGCCTCTCTACCAGCGTTGCAGAGACACTGCATGGCGAAGGGGAGGCTCAGGAAAGAAAAGAGATGGGAGAGCTTGCTTATAAAAGATCCATTGGGATTTAAGGGTAACACAGGCATATGCTTAAAAAATTCATACAAATTTATATTCTCTACAAAAGAACATATAGTAAAAAATAAATGTGCTTCCCCAACTCAACTCCCAGACCGCCATTTGCCCACTGCAGAAGCAACAGCTGTTCCAGTTTCTTATGCATCTTCCAGAGATACTCTGTGCATATAGAAGCTTATGTGGATATACAGTCATGACCTCCTGATACATTTTCCACACATTTGACAGCATACCATAACCTGTGATGAGCTGGAGCTGGCTGTATCAGCTTATAGGAGCCAACTGCAAAATTTTCAGGAATGTTGTGAGCTGGTTGTTAATATAGCAACTGTTAAACATTAAATTATGTGACATAATTAATTAGATTAAAAGCAAATAGTCAAAACTCATGGCTTCCTAATTATTTTTCTACATCTCAACATTATCTATGCATTGTTGAGGTTATTCACGTCGATTCCACTGGTAAGAATGGAAATACCATATAATGATGTGCTATTTGTGTTTCTTCCCAATTCTGCATTTAGTGAGGACTTGTCAGTGGCTTCAAATTGGTCATGGTGGGTTTATGGGTTGTTCATTGTCCATTCCAGAGGTCTGCATGATTTTTCTGTAAAAGGCCAGATAGTAAATATTTTAGGTTTTGTGGGCCGCATGGTCTCTGTTGCAGTCACTCAACCCTGTTGTTGTAGTGCACAGGCAGTCATAGATAACTCATGAACATGGCTGTGTCCCAGGCTTTCCTTGCAAAGCCAGATATCAGGCTAGATTTGGCTCAATGGCCATGGTTTGCTGACTCTTCGTCTAGACTTAAGAAAGTGATGGAGAAAATAATAAGAAGAATTAACTTAAGTATTGTGTCTGAGTCCGTTACACTGTGATGAGCACAAAAACTTGGGGAAAATTTCTTCCAGTATTCAAAAACTATCATCTGATTCAGCAAAGAAGTTACTTATGTCATTGACAGACAAGTGAAGTTCTAACATACATATATGTTGTCTCACTTCTATTTTAATTATGAATAAAAGTGAAATACCAACCAACATTTATATTTGAACCACACACATTTGTCAATGATATGAGCAACTTCTCTGCTGATCAAATTGTAATCAAGCGTATTCAGAGAATTATTTTGGGACACAGTCATGGCTAATAAAGTTATTAAAAACTTGACATTGGAAGTTTTAAGAAATAGCAAGTCACATCGACATTATAGAATGGAATTTACAATAAAGGGTATTGTATATTTTATTTGCAAATTGTGTACTATACATCCTTTTTATTAGTAAACTTTGTAATGAGCTTATGTACATATCTGTATTTACAGTATTTTTACATTATTAAACATTTACCAGCACGGCATTGTACATAACTGTTCAGAACTTCGCTTTTGTTCACTTCATATATTTTGAAGAATCTTTTGTACATGTACAAATGTGCCTCATTCTTTGCAGCAACTGTATATTTTTAAACCACTTCTAGCATTTTAGGTATCCTCCCTATTTGTTTAAATAGTATCTTACTGATAGATATCTAGGCTGCGTGTCAGCCTTTCTCCATTAGCAGCAATGGTACAGCAAACATTCTTTTATAAATCCCACTACACACATTTACAAAGATATCTGTAGCATAAAATCTTAGAAGCAAAATTGTTGGGCTAAAGAGCACAGGTATTTGCAAGTGTGGTAGATATTGACAAATTGCTTTTCAAAGACATTGGACCAATCTATACTCATACCAAGGATGCAAGAGAGTGCCCATTTCTGTGTACCTTTGCCAACATGGTATATTACATTTTTTTTTTTAAAGACAGAGTCGCAATGTGTTGTCCAGGTTGGAGTGCAGTGGCATGATTCTAACTTGCTGCAGCCTCAACTCCTGGGCTCAAGTGATCCTCCCACCTCAACCTTCTGGATTGCTAGGAGTATAGGCATGCGGCAACATGATCAACTAATTTTTTTTTTTTTTACTTTTTTTTTTAATTTTAGAGACGGGGTTTCACCATATTGGTCAGACTGGTCTCGAACTCTTGACCTCAGGTGATCCATCCGCCTCAGCCTCCCAAAGTGCTGGGATTACAGGCGTTAGCCACCGCACCCGGCTGATCAACTAATTTTTTAAAGTTTTTGTAGACATGGGGTCTCAACATGTTGCCCAGGCTGGTCTTGAACTCCTGGCTTCTAGCTATCTGTCACCTCACCCAAAGTACTGGGATTACAGTCATGATCCAGTGTGCCTGGTGTTATTATACTTTTTGATTTTGGAAAGTCAATGGATGAAGATGGTATCTTATTGAAGTTTAACTTGCATTTTATTTTATTTTCTTTTATTATTTTTTGTGTGAGATGGAGTTTCTCTCTGTCACCCAAGCTGGAGTGCAATGGCGTGATCTTGGCTCACTGCAATCTCCACCTCCTGGGTTCAAGCAATTCTCCCATATCAGTCTACTGAGCAGCCGGGACTACAGGCGTACGCCACCACACCTGGCTAAGTTTTGTATTTTTAGTAGCGATGGAGTTTCACCATATTGGTCAGGCTAGTCTCAAACTCCTGATCTCAGGCAATCCACCCACTTCGGCCTCCCAAAGTGCTAGGATTACAGGTGTGAGCTACTGTGCTGAGGCCCATATTTATTTTTTATTTTTATTTTTTTCCCTATCCACTAGACAACCAGGGGGCACTTACATTTCATTTGTTTTGAGGGAGAGTGAATACTTTTTCTATGTTTAATATCATTTGTGTTATTAGCCTTGTGAACTATTTATATTTCATTTTTTATTGTGCTTTCCTATTAATATGAAAGATTTCTGTCCCCCAACTGAATATGAGCTCCATGAGGCAGGGAATTCTAATTGTTCTGAAGTCTCAAATGCTTGGAATGGTGCCTGGCACATAACAGTTGCTCATTAAGTATTTGCTAATTAATTAATTATTAAGGGATTTAGCCCCACTGTCTGTGGGATATGTTGCCGTATTACCTCCCAGTTTGGTACTCATCTTTTACTCTGTGGCATTTTTTGTCCTTGTAGGAATTTTTAGTTTTTAGATAGGCAAATTAAAATTTTTTTTCTCTGGCTTTTATATCTTTGTGTTTTATTTGGAAAGGTATTCTTTTCTTTATTTTTTTCATTTTGAGATGGAGTCTTACTCTGTCTCCCAGACTGGAGTGTAATGGTGTGATCTCAGCTTACTGCAACCTCTGCCTCCTGGGTTCAAGCAATTCTCCTGCCTCAGTCTCCCAAGTAGCTGGGACTACAGGCACCTATCACCATGTCTGGCTAATTTTTGTATTTTTAGTAGAGACAGGGTTTCGCCATGTCGGCCAGGCTGTTCTCGAACTCTTGACTCTCTGCCTTGGCCTCCCCAAGTGCTGGGATTATAGGCACAAGCCACTGTGCAAAAGGTATTGATTTCTAAGAAAAAAATTTTTTTTCTCCTATGTGATCGCCTAGGAATTCATAGTTTGATTATTTTTATATTTGAATCTTTGAAACATCTGGAAATTCTCTTAGAGAAGTGATAAAGTGGCATCGGATATTATTTTTCCATTTGGCTGCCCAGTTGTTCTGACATACTCATTGGAATATCTCATTCCCCCAGTGATTTACATTCCACTTGATCATACACTGAATTCTCATATGTGGGTGGTCTATTTCTAGTCTCTCTATTGCTCCGTCTGTGTATTCATATGCTAGCACCAAGCTGCTTTCATTATTAATGCCTGCTCTCTTAGATGTTGTTTATAGCATCTGAGTGAGCAAACTCATGTATCAGTGTGATTAACCCATCTTTGGCCTTAGGGCTACATGTATAGTTTTTTTTTTTTTTTTTTTTTGCGACGGAGTTTCGCTCTTGTTACCCAGGCTGGAGTGCAATGGCGCGATCTCGGCTCACTGCAACCTCCGCCTCCTGGGTTCAGGCAATTCTCCTGCCTCAGCCTCCTGAGTAGCTGGGATTACAGGCACGCGCCACCATGCCCAGATAATTTTTTGTATTTTTAGTAGAGAGGGGGTTTCACCATGTTGACCAGGATGGTCTCGATCTCTCGACTTTGTGATCCACCCGCCTCGGCCTCCCAAAGTGCTGGGATTACAGGCTTGAGCCACCGCGCCCGGCCTACATGTATAGTTTTAAAAAAATGTCTGAAGTACTTTCACAGACTTTCATTTCATTGAGTTTTATGGTACCTCTGAGGAGCAGGTGGTAGAAGTTGCCTCCTTTTGCACATGAGGAAGTTGAAGCTCAGAGAGCTTGGGGGACTTTTGCCCATGATCGTTCACCTAATAGTTTATAGAATGGATACTGAACAAGCTCTTATTCTTTCTTGTAATAAAACATTGATTCATGGCAAAATGCTTTAATAAACAACTAAGATAAAAATTGCTTCAAATCCTGTAACCTAATCAGATGACTGGTTTATTTCCACAAGTAGTCCTTGTTTATGCATTGACTCCCAGGCTGTTTTCCTTAGCTCTTATCAAGAAGTTCAAGTGAGTTAGTGTCAGAGAGCTTTGAAAAATAGCCTGGGCACGATGGTTCATGCTTGTAATCCCAGTACTTTGGGAGACTGAGGTGGGTGGATCACTTAAGATCAGGAGTTTGAGACCAGCCAGGCCAACATGACAAAACCCCATCTCTACTAAAAATACAGAAATTAGCCAGACGTGATGTTTCACGCCTGTAATCCCAGATATCCCAGCTACCTGGTAGGTAGGGGCACGTGAATTGCTTGAACCCAGGAGGTGCAGGTTGCAGTGAGCCAAGATGGCACCACTGCACTCCCACCTAGGTGATAGAGAGAAAACCTCCCTCAAAAAAAAGGAGAATGACTTGTATGTTGAGATATTCTTAGCACAGTTCTTAGCATATAGTATTAGCTCCATAAGTGATAGCTATTATTTATATTTGTATTTGGATTCTTATTTCTTTGATGAAGAGCATGAGCTGTGAAGTAGGACAGGCTTGAGTTCCAGTCTCTACTCTTTCATTTATTAGATGGGTGACATTGGACAAGGTGCTTTACTTTTCTGAGCCTTGGTTCCCTCACATGTAAAGTAGTCCTTGTCGTAAAAACCTCAGGGGTTTCGTGATATTTAAATATCTCATTGAAATATTATGAATGAAGCCTGTCTCAGCATAGTGTCTGGCACATGATAAACTCTTAATAAATATTAGTGATTTCTCATTGATCATTTTCTTCTGAAAACCCTAAATTATTTCCTCATAAATGGGGACGGTCCCATGGTTTTCTTTTTTTCAACAAAGCCCGGTGTGGTTAGTTCTTCAGCTATACTGCAGTCACTGATATACTCTCATATACCTAATGACTCTCTGCTGCCTTATCTGAAAAAGCAGAAATAAAAATCGACACAGGCCGCTTACTTTAATTTAGCTTCCATTTATTCTTGCAAAGTCCCACTGGATTTGTTGGCATTATTTGCTAAGAAAGGGTTTGCGAAATAAATTAATAGTGTAAACAAGACTCGGGCAGAGTGCCGAAAATAATTAAGGGAACTATTTCTAAGCATGCCTAAATACGGTAGCAGCACCATCTACATACAGGCGATGTATCTGAGATCTCTGCACCAGTCATCTCCATTCCTGAACCAGTGATTACAGCTAATTCTGTACCACTCTCTGCACTCAGTGTGAGTTTGAGGGCAGGTCCAGCCCTGTCCATCTCTGTTCCCTCTGTGCCCAGAATGGCAAATCTGCTCATGGCAGGTACTCAAAACATGTGGCAATAACAAATATGTCCCAAGGTCTCTTGCTTAGACACTTGGTTATTCTAGATCAAGTGATTAATTTGTCTTTGACAGCTGGCTGGATCCCATTCCCAGTCAAATGTTCTGTGGTCCCCTCAAATTCAACTACGTGCATGGTTTTGTTTATAAAATTAGCTTCTCACCCCAGTTTCCTTTTTTGTTTCTCCCGACATCATCATTTTTCCAGGCTAAATGCTTGGAGTTAGCTGTGTGTGGTGGCTCACGCCTGTAATCCCAGCACTCTGGGAGGCCAAGGCCAGAGTATCACTTGAGCCCAGGCATTTGAGACCAGCCTCGGGAACATAGCAAAACCCCACCTCTACAAAAAATACAAAAATCATCCAGGTGTGGTGGTGTGTGCCTGCAGTCCCAGCTACTTGGCAGGCAAGGGAAGGAGGATTGCTGGACCCTGAGGGTTCAAGGATGTAGGGAGTCATGATCATGTCACTGCACTCCAGGCTGGGCTATAGAAGGAGACCCTGTCTCAGAAACAAAACCAAAACAAAACAGAACCTTGGAGTCCTCTTCACTCTCCTCTTTCCCCTCCTACTATAAGCCACCCAGTCCACTGTCCTGCCTTCCAAATGTCTGTTGTCTCTGTCATGCCCCTCATTGGATGGCATCCCTTGGTCTAGGCTCTATCACCTCACTCTTGGTGCTGAAATCATCGCGCTGTCTTCAGCAGAGACCACTTCTAATTCTACATTATTTTAATATCGGATGGTAATACATTATGTTTCCTTTCTTTGGAAATTAAAAGGTAAGCAGTCCCCAAAGAAATGTGTAAGAAAAAAAGGGTGTTAGTTTCCTCTCAATTCCTCTCCAATTCCACTTCCTTAAAGGTTATTAATTAACAATTTGTGTATAGTTTTCTATATTGTCCTCCATGCTTATGTATAATTTTTAAAAAATGGGTCCTATAGTGCATGTGATCCAATGGAGAAAGGATAGTTCTTTCAAGAAATGGGGCTGGAACAACTGGATATCACGTAGGAAAAATAAACCGCTACCCTTATCTTGCATTATACACAAAAATTAATATGAAATAGATCACAGGCTTAAAGGTAAAACTTAAAATTTCTAAAAGAAAACACAGGAGGAAATCCTTGCAACCTTGGGGTGGGCAAAGATTTTTAAAACACAAAAAGCACCAGTTATAAAATAAACAATTAAAAGGTTGGGCCTTATCATCAAAGCTAAAAACTCCTCTTTGAAAAAGCACCATTAAGAAAATGAAAACAGGCTGAGCATGGTGGCTGACACTTGGAATCCAAACAGTTTGGGAGGCCGAGGCAGGCAGAATGCTTGAACCTAGGTGTTTGAGACCAGCCTGGCCAACACAGAGAAGCCTTATCTCTACTGAAAATACAAAAATTAGCTGGGCATGGGGGCACATTCCTGTAATCCCAGCTACTCAGGTGGCTGAGGCACAAGAATCACTTGAATCGCTGAGGCAGAGCTTGCAGTGAGCTGAAATTGTACCACTGCACTCCAGCCTGGGAAACAGAGTAAGATTCTGTCTTATTAAAAAGAAAAAAAGAAAAAGAAATGAAAACGCAAACCTCTGACTTTAAGGAAATATTCTGCAATACATATCTATATCTAAAACTTGGGTCAAGAATATATAAAGAACTCTTGCTGGGCATGATGGCTGATGCTTGTAATCCCAGCATTTTGGGAGACCGAAGCAGGCAGATTACCTGAGGTCAGGAGTTTGAGACCAGCCTGGCCAACATGGTGAAACCCTGTCTCTGCTAAAAATACAAAAAATTAGCCAGATGTGGTGATGAGTGCCTGTAATCCTAGCTATTCAGGAGGCTGAGGCAGGAGAATCACTTGAACCCGCGAAGTGGAGGTTGCAGTGAGCTGAGATGGTGCCATTGCAGTCCAGCTTGGATGACAGAGTGAGACTTTGTCTCAAAAAAACAAAAAACAGAAACAAACAAACAAAAAAGTGCCAGGCATGGTGGCTCACACCTGTAATCCTGGCACTTTGGGAGGCTGAGTCGGGCAGATCAGGAGATCAGGAGTTCGAGACCAGCCTGGCCAATACGGCGACACCCTTCTCTACTAAAAATACAAAAATTAGCCAGGTGTGGTGGCGTGCACATGTAATCCCAGCTACTCAGGAGGCTGAGGCAGAAGAATCACTTGAACCTGGGAGGCAGAGGTTGCAGAAAGCTGAGATCATGCCACTGCATTCCAGCCTGGGCCACAGAGTGAGACTGTTTCAAAAAAAGAAAAAACTCTTACAAGTCAACAATAAGAAGACAATCTAATTAAAAATAGGCAAAAGAGTCAGACAGTTCACAAAAGATATTCAAGGCTATAAATGAGAATATAAATTGCTGATAAGTACAAATAGATGCTCAGCATTAGTTTTCATGGCAATGCAAATTAAAGCCACAGTGAGGTACCACTATACATCTAATTAAATGGTTAAAATGTGAAAGACTGACAATACCAAGTTCTGACAAAGATGTAGAGCAACAGGAAATCTCATGCATTGCTGGTAGGAAAATTGTTTGACATTTCCTTATAAAGTTAAACACACACTTAGCATGTGACCTAGGAATTTCTCTCGTAGTTACCCAAGAAAAATGAAAAAAGCAAGACATATACACAGATGTTACTATCGGTTTTATATAACAGGTAAAAACTGAAAACAACACAAAGGATACACACTGTATGATTCTATTTATATCAGATCCTAAAATAGGCAAAATTAATCTATAGGAACAGAGAGCAATTCAGTGATTTCCTGGGACTGGTAGGGAGATTAACTGCAAAGAGGCACAAAGGAATAATAGGTGATGGAAATGCTTGGTATCTTAACTGTGGTGGTGGTAAATGGATGTATGTATTAGTTGCAACTCATTGAATGGTATGCTTAATAGACGTATTTTATTGTATGACCATTAAAATCTCGCTGTGTGTATGTGTGTAATAAGAACCTGCCGTATGTGTGATTTTACTTTTTTTGCTTAACAATATATCATAGCTGGCTGCAGTGGCTCATTCCTGTAATCCCAGCACTTTGGGAGGCCAAGGTGGGAGAATTGCTTGAGCCCAGGAGTTCCAGTAGCTTGGGCAACATAATGAGACCTTGTCTCTCAAACAAAAAACAAACAACCCAAAACCAAAAATAGCTAATATATCATAGACATTGCTCTGGGTAACACAGAGAGACTTAGCCCATTCTTTTAAATAGTTGTGTAATATTGCATAGTATAGATACATTATTTTTCATGGAGATTTAGAATTTTCCCTTTTTCTTAACGAACATGTCTGCAATAAGCACCTTTGTATGTATGTTCTTATATACTAGGGTTTTTATTTCTGAAAGTGGATTTTCAAACGTTGCATTGCTGGTTCTAGGGGGTATGGGCATTCAAAATTTTAACAGATGTAAAATCCTGCCCTTTTCTTTTGATACTTGTATTTTATCTTCTGTAAATCAACTGTTAATTTCTTTTGACAAATTTTCTTTAGTGTATTCTTTTTAAAAATTCATTTTTATTCTGTCAATATCTTAGCAGAGCTCTTTGTGTATTGCCTATTTGGTTATTAGAAAGTTATTTTTATAGCCCTTCTCCCTATCTTTCTTTTTTTTTGAGACAGAGTCTTGCTTTGTTGCCAGGCGCCAGGCTGGAGTGCAGTGGCGCGATCTTGGCTCATTGCAACCTCTGCCTCCTGGGTTCAAGCGATTCTCCTGCCTCAGCCTCCCAAGTAGCTGGGACTGCAGACATGCACCACCATGCCCAGCTAATTTTTGTATTTTTTAGTAGAGTTGGGGTTTCACCATATTGGCCAGGATGGTCTTGATCTCTTGTGATCCGCCTGCCTCGGCCTCCCAAAGTGCTGGGATTACAGGTGTGAGCCACTGTGCCTGGCCCCTCACCTATCTTTTTATTTAAGGAATACAATGCAGTCTTTGAACGAACTAAAATAACCTGTAAGGCTCAGCACTCTTTAAAAGCAAAGCCTCACTGGAAATTTATAAACTGTTAAGAATTATCAGATGAGCTGGAAGTAGAGGCTGAGGTGGGAGGATCACTGGAGGCTGGCCAGGAGTTCAGGGTACAGTGAGCTGTATATGCATCACTGCACTCCAGCCTGGCCCAGGGAGGAAGATCCTGTCTCAAAAAAAAAAAAAAGTTAACAAAAGTTTCACTTTTTGAATTTACATAAATTTCCAAAAATTGAGATGTGCCTTTACCTAAAAGTAAAAATATACAAATTAGGTTGTAAGAGTTACACTATATTCAATAGTATAGTTGCTTAAATGTAGTATATTGGTTTTTTTTAGAATTAAAAAACGAAGAGGGCATTGCCATATGGCACCAGTGCTAGATCAATGTCACTCCAGTGTGACTAGGAAAACATTCTATTCATTCATGATGGAATAAAGTTTCAGTATTTCATATTAAGTATCTCTTATGCCTCTACAGCTCCAAAATCCAGTTGATCTTTTTCCATTTTTGAGTTGGAGGATTGACGGGCCCCTAAAACTTCATTAATGGTAGCAATTTTCTCACAAAATGTACTCCAACCCATTAGAGAATCTGGCAGTTTCTAGAATTGCTCATACATAAAAATCCCAATGGGATGTAGATGCATCCTAAGACTGGAAGAAAAAAGTGCTCGCATATAGACTGTTCTGCGAATTGAATTAGCCTATGATTATGAGACGTGATCCTTTCACCATGAAGAGGGGGGTAGGTCCTTCTTTCTTTGTTGACCATATACCCAGGAAGCTTCAGGTCCTGGTGCACAGGTTCTGCACTTGGAAGCTGGACCTTTTGTATTGTGTCATAAATGATCCTTCCTTCCCTCCCGACCCCATGAAGAAGGCAGAACTTCCCCTACCGCCCCAGTCTGCTGTGTGAGACCTGAGTGTGGCCACCTGAGCTCTCCTTCCCCATGTGGATAAGGCCAGTCCAGCACCTGCCTCCATTCTCAGTGACAGGTCACAGCTAAGAAACTGCAGGGAACACCCTCCAGTCCACTTTGTACACCGTTCCAGACCTGCCTTTCTAAAACTTTCTCTTAAATTACTTCCCTCCCACCATCTTCTGTATGAAGAACAAAGACATATCAGGGAGCTTTATCAGCTGATCCTCAGCCTGGCACCCACCCTGCCCCGCAGACCAGGCAGCCCTCGCATCCTGTGACAGCCATTGTCCTCTTCCCAAGTTGGCTTAACAGCCTCCTGCCAGGAAGACCCTCTACACCTGCACACTTCACCCTTGTCTCCCTGTCTTTTGCACCCTAGATCAGGGGTATGCTTGTTCACAATCCTTCTGGGTGTATGCTGACCTCTCTTGCACCTGAGCTTCCTGCGGATCTGTGTCAGTGTTTATCAAGGCTTTACATGACGTGTTATCTTTTGGAATGACTGTTTTGTGAGCATTTGTTTCTTGTCTCTGCATCAGCGTGTGGTGTGTGCTCAATGGCCATGTCAGATGTTCCCCCTGCTTCCCTCCTTGTCCTGAACCCTACAGGTAGCTCCACGAAGACCCGTTTCATCACACTATATGCCTATATTTGTAAGCAACAGCACTAAATTTCTTCTTAAAAATGCAATAATTCAGATTAAGTAACTCAGACTTGCTTGCTCCTAGTTGTTCTGAATTCTTGTATTGAATTTTCAGCATTTTTGAGATCTTACTAGTTGCAAGGTACTGTGCTATGTGTGGATGTGTGGTGGTGGCGGAACATAATAGCAAGCAAAAAACAGAACAAACTCCAAAAATAAACCATCAACTCCCCCCGCCCCCCCCCCACCAAAATACAGTGCCTGGGTTCTTGTGGCTAAATGCTTCATGGCCTCAGAGAACCACACCAGGAGTGTAGGCTTAGCCTACAGAGTGGGAGATGACACAGGATTTTGTGAGAGCCTCAAGGAGGAAATTGCCCCATTTGGGAAGGTGATGGAAGGCTTTCCTTAGGAAGCAGTCATTGCCCTGTGGACTGAAGGAAGCCAGGAGTTAACCAGAAAAGGTGGGAATGGAGAAGGGAGGAGAGGATTCCAGCCAGAGGAGTGGTGCTGAAAAAAGGAGGCCACAGTCAAAGGGGAGGAGGTTCCAGGGATGGATGGGAATGGGTGGGGTTGTGTAGTCGGGTGAGGCCAGACATGTAAGGTTTTGTAGCTCATGTGAAAAGTACTAGATGCCAATGGATGATTTTTCTTTCTTTTTTTGAGATGAAGTCTTTCTCTGTTGCCCAGGCTGGAGTGCAGTGGCTCCATCTAACCTCTGCCTCCTGGGTTCAAGCGATTCTTCTGCCTCAGCCTCCCTAGTAGCTGGGACTACAGGGGCACACCATTATGCCTGGCTAAGTTTTGTATTTTTGGTAGAGACAGGATTTCACCATGTTGGCCAGGCTGTTCTCAAACTCCTGACCTCAGGTGATCTGCCCATACAGGCCTCCCAAAGTGCTGGGATTACAGGCATGAGCCACCGTGCCTGGCCCCCAGTGGATGATTTTAATGGGCAGACTGGAACACCCTTTTGGCACTGAAGAAAGACCACCCTGGCTGTCATATCAGCAGTGGAAGGGAGGGTGTGGAGTGAGGGCAAGGAATCCAGTTAGGAGGCTACTGCAGTGGTCCAGATGAGAGATCGTGGATGCTTATGTTAGGATGGCAGGAAAGATGAAGAGACAAAGCTTCATGATTAACAGTTAGCAGGGCGTAGTACTGAATTGGATCTAGGGGTGAGGGAGAGAAGAGTGTATACAGATGCTGAGGTTTCTGAGGAGCAATAGCCGGCTGGAAAGTGGTGCTGTTCACCGGCGTGTAATACTCACTGATAGAGGTCCGGACCCGGGAGGCCATGAGCATGACTTTGGTTTTAGACATGTCAACCTGAAGAGCTTCTGAGATATCCGTAGCAGAGGATGCTGATACTCTACCACAGCTGTTCTTCCTTTATTCTTCTAATGAGAAGTCCTTCTGAATTTAACTGAGCATAGGGCTGTTCAGTTAGAGACATTTCCCAACCTTCCTTGCATTTAGGTATGTCTATGCAATTGACTTCTGGCCAGTGGGATGTGAGTGAAGGTTATGTGTGCAGCTTCTGGGTCATACCCTTAGTAGGAAACAACTTATGCCATGTCCCTTACCCCACCATGCGTCTTCCCCTATCTGCTGGATGGGATGCAAATGTGGCAATAGAAATTGCAATGGTCTTCTTGAATCCAGAGCTAGGAAGCTTATATTGAGGATGGCAGAACCTCTCCATCTGCTTGGGCCTATCTATTGCTGGACTGTGATTTGAGAGGGAAATGGACTTCTACTTTTCTTAAGGCATTGTATTTTTAGGTCTCTTTGTACTTCAATCCATACAGTATCCAAGGGGAGATGTCAGGAAGGCATTTGAAAATATGGACCTGGAGCTCAGAGAAGAAATCTGCAAAGGTGATATGAATTTGAGAACTCTCGACATGTAGGAATAATGAAAGCCATGGCTGTGGATGAGATTGTCCAGAGGAAGAGATTACAGAAAGGGGAGAAGAGTGGTCTGGGAAAGAGCCCTGAAGAATTCATATACTTAATGGATGGGTTTGGGGAAGATGAGTGATCAAAGAAAACTGAAAAGGCTCAGCTAAAGCAATGTGTGGAAACCCAGGACAGAGCAGGCTCACGGAGTCCACGAACAAAGAGTGCTTTAAGAAGGGAGCAGTGAGCAGTGCTGTACTTAAAGTGTCCCTTAGTGAGTGTTCACTACACATTGGCTAACTTGGCCAATGATAGATGGAGTGTTCTTGTCAAACCAAGGGCTTGTTTGCTAATGAGGGTTATTATTGGCTAATGCAACTTCATAAAAACTATGCGTGTCTCTGGCAAGAACACGGAAAGATCTAATTCTTATTTCTCAATCCAATTTTCATGATATATTATCCAGAAACACTAAAAATTGTCAAACTCAGCATGATGCTTCATGTGAAACCCTAAATGGCTCTTAAGTTTTTTGTTTGTTTGTTTTTTGTTTTTTTTGAGTTGGAGTTTCGCTCTTATTACCCAGGCTGGAGTGCAATGGTGCGATCTCGGCTCACCGCAACCTCTGCCTCCTGGGTCCAGGCAATTCTCCTGCCTCAGCCTCCTGAGTAGCTGGGATTACAGGCATGTGCCACCATGCCCAGCTAATTTTTTGTATTTTTAGTAGAGACGGGGTTTCACCTTGTTGACCAGGATGATCTCGATCTCTTGACCTCGTGATCCACCCGCCTCGGCCTCCCAAAGTGCTGGGAATTTTTTTTTTAATTATTCCTCTAGATTCTAAAAATTCCTTTTTTTGAAAATTCAAACTTTTAAAATTTCGGTTAAAAACTCATATAAAATTTACCATCTTAACCATGTTTTTGTGATAGGTATACTCACATTATTGTGAAACAGATCTCCAGAACTTTCAATCCTGCAAGACTGAAACTATTCCCATTAAACAACTCATCATTGCCCTTCTTCTCGACCCCTAACATTCCCCAGGCTCCTTTCTGTCTCCATGAATTCGACTTTTCTAGATACACTATATGGGAGGAATCATTTAGATTTGTTTTTTTGAGCCTGGCTTATTTCACTGAACATAATGTCCCCAAGGGTCATCCATACTATAGCATGTGACAGGATTTCCTTCTTTTTAAGGTTGAATATCCTTCCATTGTATGTACATATGTATGGTAAACACACCTGAGAGCAGTCATTCAAACATACCCTGAGAATGACCCAGTATAGCAGATGCCCCAAATGTATGTTTTGCACTAGGGAATCTGGTTGCAGCCAACCTGGAGATTTGTTCTTTGTCTATGAGGGGCATCTGAGCCCCCTACTCATCCTGTGGAACTTTGGCCATATAGAGGATTGAAGTTCTGAGTTTTGGGTTGGCTGAAGGTTGCCAGGTGGAAGTCATGAAGGGAAGGGTATTCAGTGAAAATGCTATGTAAACTGCATGCTGTTTGCCAGCGGTTTTCCTGCAGATGCTGTTTGTAAGCGGTTTTCGCTGCCACTGGACTGTTTCCATATGTAAGGGGGTTCTCCTGTCCAGCCTGCTGCCACTGTATCTAAGGCCCTAATAAAACCCCAGGTCTCATTTGCTGGCCTGGGGTCTTTTCTTCCGCCTTTTGACCCTGGTGCCTTCCCTAATAGCGGTTCAGCACAGCAACATACCACATTTTGTTTCTACAAATTAATTTTAAAAGAATTCACCTTCTAAACTCTTATTCCTCTGGTTAAATTTCTTCTAGCCTGGTATACCTAGAAAGCAATAGAAGAGAGATGGCAAATTGGGTATCAACTGTTATAAGTAGAATTTTCAATGCCACAAAAGAAGTAGCACTTGGATAGAAATGTCTTCACCAAGGCACTTTACTGCTATAGGAGGGTGCAGCTCACAGATGGAACAATGGCGAGTGCACACCAGGACAAGGAGGGGAAGGAGTACTTATGCCTGATGGAGGTCGCCCCTACTGCTGTGTCGTTCCCCTGGTGGCTAGGGTTAGACTGCATAGTCTAGTCTAATTCTGATTGGCTATTTTAATGGGAGCAGGGGTTTGCAAGCTGGTGTGGTGGGGTGGGTAGTTTGGTGGGAAGGATGGTTACGGGCAGGTCAGAGCAGGTAGGCAGGGGTTAAAGCAGGTAACCAGAGCAGGTGACCAGGATGAGTCAGGACAGGGCAGGGGACTGGAGAAACAGATGTGAACTACGTATTAGAACTGTCAAAAAGGTTGTTTACTGAAACTATGAGGAAGATAAACTTTAAAAAAGAGAATTAAAGAACGACAGAGCTGAATCTACTGACATACTGATTCTTTGAAGAGAAACTAGGGGTTTGCTATATCTAACATCAATTTTCCTTCCTCCTCCTCCTCCTCCTCCTCCTCCTCCTCCTCCTCCTCCTCCTCCTCCTCCTCCTCCTCCTCCTCCTCCTCCTCTTTTTATTCTTCTGACGGAGTCTTACTCTTGCCCAGGCTGGAGTGCAGTGGTGTGATCTCAGCTCACTGTAACCTCCACCTCCCAGGTTCAAGCGATTCTCCTGCCTCAGCCTCTTGGCCTCTTGAGTAGCTGGGATTACAGGTGCATGACACCACTCCAGGCTAATTTTTGTATTTTTAGTAGAAATGGGGTTTCACCATGTTAGTCAGGCTGGTCTTGAACAACTGACTCATGATCCACCCGTCTCGCCCTCCCAAAATGTTGGGATTACAGGCGTGAGCCACAGCACCTGGCCCCTTCTTTTTTAATCTGACCACCTTCATTCCATAATATAGACTGGGTGCTCCCACTACTGACTTTCTTCAAGAAAACAGACCGTCTGCCAGTAGTCACTGGCAAACTTTTCCTGCAAAGGGCCATATAATCAGTATTTTTGGTCTTGTCCATACCGTCCCTCTAACTACTTAACTACTCACCTTCAGCAAGGCTACCTGTCTCTTGCATTTTTGTAGCTATTTATGTATTTGTTCACTGTGTGTCTTCCCTGTTAGATTGCATATTTTGAAGGCAGAGGCTGTCCCCTCCCACTCTCAGGGAATTCCTAGCACCTGGCATATCACCAAACATGCAATGAAGACTTCACATGTGACTTATTTCCTTGTGCATCATGTAATTGATGGGTACCTATAACTAAGGAATATGGCATCTGTTGACTGATTGGCTAACTTCCTCTTAAGTTGCGGGTGTGTCCCTGCAATGTCAAGCAATTTGGGAAGGACATATTTTCATATGTATTTGCCTAGAGGACAATCTACCGCTGTATAAAATATTGGTAAGTCATTTTAATCTGTGATGTTTTTTACAATAAGACTTTCTCAACCAAATGTCTTCTAACCCCTTCTAACTGTCAGGGGTTTGGCTGTCAATGAGCATGAATTAAAATAAGAATTTATGACAATTTAATAGCACTTTGAGGGAAAAGGGCAGAAGTATTCTCAGGATAATGCAAGAGTTAATGGCTCTGTATTAACATGAAAATAAAAAACCGCTTAATCCCTCTTCTTTCTGTTTCTAGTGACTTCAGAGCTCTCAAATCTGATGTGTGTTGCTCTTTACACCAGGGCCCTGGACCTTGGGCAAGTGGGCTGCCCCAGCATGGGCTGTGTCCACTGGAGGGGAACCTTTTTCTAATTCATACATGGACTTCTTAAGGGCTCGTTGTGCTAGGCTGACTCCTGTGTCATTCAACTTTTGTAGAACTTTCATCTGGTGTGTACAGGCTGATCTCTTGTTAACTCTTGTGTACAACAGTCTCCTGCCTTGTCTTTCTGAGTTTTCCCTCAAATAATCCCTCCTTCAACTATTGTAGATGAACCTCATCATTCTCATATTCAGAAAGCATCACTGGATGCCCACACACTCACAGGGAACTACAGATTTTCTAGCCCGGACTCCAGGCCTCCTCCTCTTGCCCTGGCTTGGCTGCCTCTACCTCCCACCAGACACATTATACTTGTTCCACCTGAACTGGACACTGCTGGCTTCCCAGCATTATGGGGCTAGTGATCAGTAACAATGGGAAATCTTTCAACTCAGTGTGTTAAGAAGCAGTGCACAGATCTACCTCGCACCATTTGAAATAGCAATTTGCTTCCGGCTCTGATTCTGGAGGTCAAATAGAACCAATTCTCTGAAAGGTGTTGAAAGCATTGGTTATTCACTTGGATCCTGCAGCTTGGCCAGTGATAGATCTATAAATGCCATGAAAAGCCCAGATTGATCCTGATTTCCTGGACAGGTTTAACGGAGTGTGGTAATAGTCAATGGTGGTCCAGTTGCATCTAAAGCCTGAATGTTGCTTCTGCTGAGCGTCAGAGTCACAGACCCACCCTACAGTTCTGGAGAGAAGGAGGCTTGTGTTGAAATCTAGACTCAATAGATTATGGATCTATACTTGGGAGGTTTGGCAAGGTGCCATTTTAGGACCTAAGGAATTATTTGAGGGGAAAGGCCTTGCCTACATTAGGATCAATTACAGAGCATTAAGCCAAGGATTATATTCTTCTGCTTTAAACTCTAATGGAGTTTACTTTGCTAAGTTTCAGACCTCCTCAGTACCTAGGACCCCCTTTTTGTTCCTTACAGTTTCTCCCTATTCTAATGGAACTATTTGCTCCACTGTGGGAAAGGAATAAGATAGATATTTCCATTCTGAAAACAGATAACTTGTCTAGTTTCACAGATTTACAGATGGAAAGAAATTTTGCCCAAAGATGAATCATACCTCAGGTCTCACCCATCTGATTTACAGAATATATGGATAAGATTTTGGACCTAGAGTTGATGCTGGAGTGGACTAAGATTTTTGAGGTTGTAGGGTTGGGGTGAAATATATTTTTCCCATGAGAAGGATGTACATTTTAGTGGTAGGGCTGGGGGCGGGGGAACTGTTAATTGTGTCCCCCAAGTTCATGTGTTAAAGTCCTAAACCTCAATACCTCAGAATGTGACCTTATTTGGAAATCAGGTCATTGCAAATGGAATTAGTTGAGATAAGATCATACTGGAGTTGGGGGGCCCTACTCTAATTTGACTGGTATCCTTATAAAAGGAGGAAACTTGGACACAGACATACATGCACACCGGGAGAACTCCGTGAGAAGATGAAGACAGAGCGCAGTGAGGCATCTACTGTTAAATACCTATGTTACCCAGGCTGATCTCTTGTTAACTTTGCCCAGATATTTTTGCCTTTTCCTCCATTTTGGTCACATCAGGAGTCAGCTAAGGAAAACCAAAAGTTGCCAGCAACTCTCAGAAGCTACGGGAGAGGCATGGAATGGATTCTCCTTCAATAGCCCTGCTTATACCTGATCTCAGACGTCCAGCCTCCAGAACTGTGAGAAAGTACGTTTCCGTTGTATAAGCCACCCATTTGTGGTACCTTGTTATGACAGCTTTAGCAGACTAATACAGATTTTGGCAGAATTTAAAGCTTCATGGACACAAAACTTCTCTGAAGATTGTCTTTTCATCCTTAAGTTAATCAGCCCTAAGTAAATCCCTCCATTTTTAAAAAGTTTTAAAATTAAATTATTATTATTCTTATTATTTGATGCAGGTCTCACTGCGTTGCTCAAGCTGGAGTGCATGGTGCAATCAAAGCTCACTGCAACCTCAACCTCCTGGGCTCAGAGTGATCCTCCCACCTTAGCCTCTCAAATAGTTGGGACCACAGGCATGCACACCACCATGCTCAGCTAATTTTTAAATTTTTTTGTAGAGATGGGGTCTTCCTATGTTACCCAGGCTGATCTCAAACTCCTGGGCTCAAGCAATCCTCCTACCTTGGCCTCCCAAATTGCTGGAATTACAGGTGTGAGCCACTACCCTCGGCAATCCTTCCATTTTAAGAAAATTCTAAAATACAGAGGAACACATCACAGAATTAGAGTTTAAAATGTCAGTGAAGGTTGGTGTCACCAGAGTCTCTCTCTGAAGCCACAGAATGAACAACCACAGCTCAGAACCCACCTACATGGCTGGGCCTTAGGGTTAAGCATCATTGGCTATCTGTTGTGACCCATAGTAGATTCTCTTAAAAATAAAAAGCCCTTTTGCATCTAGTGAATTTCTGAGTGTTCTCCAAGCTCCACTTATGACGTTCTCTTGTTAACTTTGCCAAGATATTTTTGGATTATTTTCCATGCTGGTCACATCAGGAGTCAGGAAAGCAAGTCCACAGTTTCCTGGTCCCCAGTTGCTGGGGCAGCTTTAAGTCTGCCCGCTGTCTGCTTCTACGAAGACAGCTGGGCAGAGAGTTGGAGGTTTCTTGTGCAAAAGATGTGAGGTTTGTGTCATTGGCTTCCACGTAAGAGGATTTTGCTGTATTAAGAGCTGAGCATAATAATTTCCTTTTTCATGGAAAGGGAGGCCGGGTGCAGTTGCTCATGCCTGTAATCCCAGCACTTCGGGAAGCCGAGATGGGTGGATCACCTGAGATCAGGAGTTCGAGATCTGCCTGGCCAACATGGTGAAACCCTGTCTCTACTAAAATTACAAAAATTAGCCGTGCATGGTGGCGGGTGCCTGTCATCCTAGCTACTTGGGAGGCTGAGGCAGGAGAATCGCTTGAACCCAGGTTGCAGAGGTTGCAGTGACCCGAGATCATGCCATTGCACTCCAGCCTGGGTGACAAGAGTGAAACTCCATCTCAAAATAAAAACAAAGAAACAATAAACGGGGTATTTCTAAAGGTGAAGCACATGGAGAAACAATGTGTCCAGACTAGTTGTGGACCCATCCCAAATCCTTGCAAATATTAGAGAAGGTATGTTAAATGTAGTTCAACAAATATGATGTTGGTGTCAGAATCCTTGACCAGGGAAATATGGGCATGGAGACACATCGGACTTCTCTGAACAGGTTGCTGAATCTGATTAGGAAGGAATGCATCCCTGATTGTACAATGCCTGGAACCCATTGCAACACCACCCAGGATACCACCATCAGCTTGCTCTTGTCTCAGTGAAGACCATACTATCAGGTGTTCTCCAGCCTTGGATGTGAGAGAATTTATAAAACCTGGGGCTTTTGGGATGGATGGTGCTAAAGTGCTGGAGAAAAAAATACCAGCTGGATCTCAGTGTTTACTTCTCCAACCTGCTCCTTCCAAGCCAGATTCCTTAGTGCATACATTTGTTTGCTTTCAGAAGGTTAGGACTGCCTCACCTGCTGATTAGCCTACATCACCAGGGTTGGTAGGACTAATCTGTTCACTTGGAGTGGGTTGTTTTTCCCTGGGGGGAAAGTGTTTAGGGCTTCCCTATACAGAGAAGGCAGAGAAGGGTGTAATGGGGAGTCCTTTAGCTATATAGGGGTGGTCTCTATTATAGGGAGAGGGGAATTAGATATGTGGGAGTGGCTTTAGGTGTGAAATGCTCTCAGGAGTTGAGGATGCCTAATTAACTGGATTCATAGATGAGAAAGAAAGGAGGGGGCACTTCATCTTTCATGGTACAATCAGGAAACAAGTTCCTCAAAATATTTTCAACAGAAGAGAATTTAATGCAGGGAATTGGTTGGACAGGAGGAGCTGAGAAGCCACACAGGGGATGGTGAGGCAAATTAGAAATGACTAAGGCAGGAAGCCTCTACCAGCTGTGGCCTCAGAGGTGGGATTAGCCAGAGACCAGAAGCTGGAGAATGAGGTGGAAAGAGAAACCAAACCAGGGCTGCTGAGTGGGAGCTGGAATTGTGGAGGAGGGTGCTGTCTGATGGGAGATGGAGCTTCTGAGATGCTGCTAGAGGCGAGAGGAAGAAATGGCCTGACAGCTCCCCATTCTCAGCACCTTTTGCTCACACCAATTGCTGGAAATCCATTTGCCAAGGAAACCAAGAAGGGAAGAGAAGACAAAGGGCCCAGATGGAACTGAGAGCAGACAAGCACGTGACTGGCATGACCTTGATGAATGAAGTGCTGTGTTGGGTGCCTTAAAGGGGCTTCTGTTAATGTGGCCATCATGGTTGTTGGAAATCAGAAATGTACATTTAGCTGTCTAAGGTCACATGTGTATGTGGGTTCTCTGGCTTGGGTTCTCTAATACCATGGTGATTAGGATTTGCCCTTCTGAGGAGGAAGCGAACAACTGCCTACATTCCCTGTGGGCAAGGGCTTGCCAGGCTGTGCATCATGGTGATTAAGGATGCTGGCTGGGAAGGAGCAGGATGAGAAGAAGAGGGATACAGTTGAGGAGTTGTACAGGTGAGTCATGCAGGTGGGTGGTGGCTTAGTGCTCACGCCTGAGCTTCATGGGCTCTCTAGCCTAGCTGAGGTCAGGTCAAGTAGCCCGCACCCTGTGATAAAAGGAGGGCCTGCTCATTATGGTAACATTTCTTTCCTTAGTAACAAACTGAGCCTTTGCTCTGGATTACAGAAAAAAAAAAAAAAAGACACCTCTTTGTGGGAGGAGGCCCCATAGACAGGCCAGGGCTGGGAGAACAATGGAAAGAGTGGAGGTGATGTCTGCCCAGCAGGTACTCCACTGGGTTCCCAGCAGCAATATTTTAGGAGCAACCATGTGAAAAATGAGAAAGTGGGTTTTGGCCACGGTTTGGGTCGTTGAGGGAGAAAGTGAGGGAAACCTCCAGGTCGTGCCAAGATTTCAAAGCAGGAGCGACAGCTCTTTGGCCCAAGTGTAGGCAGAGCCCTTGTTGCGATGCTATCTGCCAGGCAGTGGCTACATTCTGGGAAGACAAAGGCAATATCAACCCCCAAATCAAATCCTTTGAGCTCATCTCTTTTTGACTTGCAGTTGGATCTCCCCCATGAACGACACTTTGTGGAGATTTGGAATGGATTTTCCTGTTGCAACAGTGTTTTCTAGCTGGCTGCCTAATTTAAGTGGTGAGTCTGCAGAATGTACAGGGAGGATTTGAATTCAGATAAGGCTACATAGATTGCAATGCTGACAGATTTATGCACAGCATTGCAGGAAGGTCTCCAAGTCACTGAAAATGTTTCTGAAGGTCACCGTGTTCTCTTTGCATGGGACATAATCTATGCAAGTTTTGAGCTCTCCATGTTTTCTCTAGAGTGACGATTCTGAAATAGTGTTACTAAGTGGTTGAAACGACTTTTCCTAGCCCTTTTCTTTCTCCTCTCATTTTCTGTTGATTTCTTCTGAAAGGAAGGAGAAGCATTTTATCTCTGAAGCAGCATCTAAGCTGCAATGCCTCATGCTCACCATTGCTCCAGGGCCTGAGGGTGCTTTGCATGACTGCTCCAGTGGAGGATAGGAAATGCTGCTTCAAAGATTGTTAACTTGGATGCATAGAAAATTTTCTTATAATAAGCATTGATTATTGAAAATAAAAAAGAGAAAATCAGAAGTGGTGCCTTGACTCCACACTTCTAACCCAAGCTCATATTCTGGTAGTTTCCTGATGCTAAGGACATTAAGCAACATGCGTGTTTTGTTTTGTTTTTGAAATCTAGGATTGAATACAGACCATCTATTTTGGGTCTGAATGACCCAGTCTGGCAGTGGATGATCTCATTCCATTGGCCAATTTGGTCCGAGAGAAGCATTTCATTAATTACACTCAGTGAAACAATGTGCCCAGGAATCTGCTTTTGTGCTTGGAGAAAAATCCCACTTTATAAACAATCCACTTTATTTAGTGCAGGCCTTCAAGAAAACACCAGACACTGATGTGATGAATTACTCTCTTGGGAGCAGGGGCGGGTGAGACTGGGGAGGAGGATGGGAAGTGAGAACTTGGTCTGTTTACCAGAAGACAGCAGTGCACGGATCTGCCTGTGCTCTGTACCTCATTGTCTAGGATAACAGGATTCCACAGCCTTGCCCTGACAGGAGCAACTTGGCACTTAATCGCAAGTTGATGGCCCACAGTCCTTCCAAGCAGGCACATGGATGACAGGCAGGCTCACCCATGGTGCCTGCAGGCCTTTCCTGGTCTCTCAACTTCACTCCTTCAACAAGTGTTTGGCAGATGCCTCCTTCTTGTTACCTTCTGTAATAGGTGCTGGGGATACACTGGGAGAAGGTTCTTGTTCTTAAGGAACCTCTGATCCTACAACAAGCCAGTGATTACAGGAGAAGTGGTAGAATGTGGGGGAATTCACAGTGTGGATTCACAGCGTGAGCACACAGAGGAAGGATATTCACCATGGGATGGGGAGTGGAGGCTGTTGATTAGCTGTCAGCATTCATTCTTTGGAACTCTGTTGACCACTGCTTCTATATTTGCACATAGTTAGTTCTAATTTAACCATGAATTTTTGGAAAACCATGATCACAGAGTTTCTTTCTCTGTCTTTCTTATCTCTTTTTCCTTTCTCTCTCCTTAGGAACAGCAGTCTTTTTAAAGTTAGCCCATAGGATTGGGATCAAGCCAGAGCTTCCAAACAGTGTTGGAGAAGGTAGGATGTGGAAAAGCACCTGAGTCTGATGGTGAAGTTAGAGCCCAGCGTGATTGGAAACAGGGCATAAAGATAGGTGAGGCGCAGAGGCTGAGGAGCCTGGAGGTCAGGAGGCCTGCAGAGGGTAGAAGAACAGAAACAGGGTCGGGAAGAGTGCCCTCCTCCCGCAATAAGACCTGTTGGGCACCAAGGCAGCCTCCTGGCCTGACCTGCACACTCCTCACACACTCACTTCCCAGCAGGAGTACTGGTCCCCGGAGCTCCCCTGAGGCCTGCAGGTAGGAGCTGGGGAAAAATGAGGTCGGTGTGAGAAGTCCGTACAAGCATGGACAGGCCTGGACTCTCATTTGTGCTATTTCGTGGTTTCTTTCCTGGCTCTACTCAAGGAAGTCCTGCAAACTTCTGATGAGTTTGGTTTTGCGGTAACTTCTTAGAGAGCTCACAGCATCAAGGAAGAACATTTCCTCAGGATGCTGAGGCGTGGACTGGCTTTCATCTCAATTTTCTTTAGCGGATTTCCTTCAATATCGTTTTTCTCTTTTCCTTTAAAAAAAGAATATGCTGTTTGTTTGGTCACATGGACTTGTGGTTACTCACCCGTGGAAGGAGGCCACCCCTCGAGACTCTGGCAAGAGCAGGGGAAGTTCCTTTCAATACCAGCCCTGAGAAATTCTCATGATCCTGGTTTCCATTTTGGTCATATTGAAGATGAAAGGACTCGATCCAGCACTGAGGAGGACTGTAATTTTGATTCTGAGGGAGGCACAGCTAGATGAAAAACCAGGCTAACCTTTCATCTGGAGTGAGAGTGGAGAGGCGCATCCGGCTACAGATCGAGCAGCCCTTGGTGTGAGGAATTCCTGCTTCAGGCCCCGTCTCGAAAATCAAAGCCTTGCAGGTGAGGAGAAACTACCATGAGGCGGCAGGTTTATTTACTTAGTTTTCCTCCAGAGTCTTGTTATAACATTACCGGGTGTCTGCCTTCTTTTTGGCTTTGTGTTTTCATAGTAATGTTAGAAATGCAATTAGGAGTAGCCACTTTCCTAGAGAAAGTTTCCAACTGGAAAACAGGACAAGCTGTTTTGGATAATCATGAGCCTTTCCATTGGAAAGTTCTTCACACCCCTTACTCCCAGCACCTCTGATACAGGTAATTCCACGAACTTTCTCACTTCTCAATTTGGTGTTCTTCTACAATTTTTCAACTGTGAGAATATATACATAACATAAAATTTAACATCATAGTAATTTCCTTTATTTACTTGTAAAATTATTTATTTATTTATTTGAGACAGGGTCTTGCTCTGTGGCCCAGGCTGGAGTGCAGTGGTGTGATCACAGCTCACTGCAGCCTACGCCTCCTGGGCTCAAACAATCCTCTCACCTCAGCCTCCTGAGTAGCTGGGGCTATGGGCTCACCTCCTCACACTGGCTAATTTTTTAAATTTTTTTGTAGAGATGAGGTTTCACTGTGTTGCTCAGCCTGGTTTCAAAAACCTGGCCTCAAGCAGTTCTCCTTCCTTGGTATCTGAATGTGCTGTGATTGTAGACATGAGTCCCCGTGCCTAACCTGCAAAAGTCTTTCCATCCTCCCAAACTGAAACTCTACACAGTAAATCCTAACTCCCCCACTTCCCTTGTCCCACCTTACAGTCCCTGGCATCCCCTCTCTACTCTCAGCCTCTATGAGTTTGACTAATCTGGGTACCTTCCTTATATAGGTGGAATCAGCAATATGTGTCATTTTGTGACTGGCTTATTTCACTTAGCATAATGTCCTCATAGACTTGGCATGCTTTAACTTTGTCTTTAAAATACTATTTCCTCTTAACATCCACGGGCTCATTTAAACTTTGGAAAGGTCATCAATAGAATTTAAAAATATTCCCTAAGCCTGGAAACTGTAAAGACAAGTATGTATCTATAAAACACCATATTGCTTGCAGCAGAGAGGAACATCTCAGAGGTGGAAAACCAAGCGGACCCACGCCTCCCCTGCTGAAGAAGAGGCTTGTGTTAAGTGGTGCCAGCTGGGAATGTCCTGTACAGTAGGGCACTGAGCCCTCAGGCCCGCAGCCAGGGGCAGGGGATGCTCAGCAGATGTGCCCTGCTCGCAGCCGGTGCCGGTGGTCACGCCGCTCTCCTGGGGCTGTGGCAACAGCTGTCTGTGGAGTGGGGCTGGCAGTGGCTCTGGAGGGAGGCATCTGCCCAGGCTGTCACTGGAGTGGAAGAACAAGAGGCAGCTGTGCAGAGGGCACAGAAAAAAACACCCTTGGCCTCCTTGTGTGCTTTTTCCCAAAGCGCAGGCCCCAGCTTGGTCATCACATCTCTCCAAAGTCAGGGAATACCACGGAGGCTGTTCCTCCTCTCCATGTTCAGGCCTGGCAGTCTGTTCTTGGACAGAGGAGGCTCATGCCAAGGCAGCTGCCCGGCAGTGTCAGAAAAATGCTGAAATAAGGGGGGCTGGGCAGGGACACCAGACCGTTCGTCTCACAGACATGGCCTTTAAAAGCTCCTTGAGGGTTTCTTATATCTCAGTAGCAACGCAAATAATCTCTAAGAACCGTGACACCATCTTTTTCAAAGAAATGTAATTTGCTACTGCCAATAACACGATTTCCCACCCAAAAGAGCCAATGTGTTTTCTCACTATTTATCAAATCTTTTATACTCTGATGACTAATGGAAAATACAATGGCAATTTGTTACTGCTTTGGCATTGTTTGCTATCAGAAATGACACTGGAACAAAGGGGTTATAAGTTATGGTTGCATTCAAAATTTATTCTCTCCCACGGGAGCATACGCACTCACATATCAATAGGAGTTGATAACTATAATGTGTGTAGCCTTTATAAATTATCTATGTAGTAATTTTTAAAAACCATGTTCCTATCCATCAGTTCATTTTGGCATCACAAGAATGTTTATGATATTGTTTCAGTTGAAAAGAACGAGACTTAAAGGAGAAATGGCTTGTCTAAGGCCCTATAGAAAGTCAATTGGGGCTAAAATATAGGTCTCCTGAGTCTTAAACCAGGGCTCTTTCCACTAAACTATACTTGAGAAGAACGTGTCAGAACCACAGAAAGCACAGTGAGAGATGTGTTTCTTTCTCCTACTGACTTCTCCCCAGCCCCAGCCCACACAATCCTGAAATCGTAGAGTAGTGATTGCTTGAGAATTAAGGGGACTAGTTGGCTGAACTGTTGAAAATTGCCATTTTTAAAAGATTAAAACAGTCAAATATCAACAGTTTTAAATGTTTCAACCTAATCGCTCTCTCCAGATTTATATAAGTTTATATTTTCTATGTAGCGTCAAATTGGCCTTTTATTGGTTAATTTGGCTGGTTGCTTTGCTTTCAATTTTGCTGCCCCTCCCTCTGAAGCAGCCAGTGACCTCAGATCATTGTTTTAGTGGCTTCTGTAACCAAATCGAGCCAATTATAGAGGCAGCTGGCCAAACCATGCAATTAACCCCAAACAAGGCAATTCAGGGTCATGTAAATATGACTCACAAATGACCAGCCTACAAGAATTTTCAACAGGTCTAACCTGCTCTTGGTTACTGCACATTTTGCCTGAAAAAGCAATTAGATCATACTCTTTTCTGTTCATCTGGCACACATTTGTATGTGTTCTGGTGAGTGGGAGATTTCCAAGGCTATTAGAGGGGGATCATTAGAAAATCACATACATTTGTATGTGTTCTGGTGAGTGGGAGATTTCCAAGGCTCTTACAGGGGGATCATTAGAAAATCAGGAGGAATCTTGGCCAAATGTCAACAATGAAGGAAGGAGCAGCGAGTCAAGCCGCCAAGGAAACACACATTAGAGTCATTCGTTCTCACCGCTCGGCGGAAGCTGGTAACTCGCTCCACTGGCCAGGCTTCCCACCATCTGGAGTGGAGTCCGGGTGCTCCTACCAGGGATGGATGAGATCCAAGTGCAGGCAGCTTGGCACAAGGGCTGCAGCCACCAATGCTGGAAGACAGAGCCTCCTGCTTCCTGAGGACAGCAGAGCAATGAGGATGGCGCTTTGTGCATTTTCTGGTTACAAGGTGCTATTGTGAACCACTTGATGTTGAGCATGAGATTACATGGAGCGTGAAGCCTGTAGTACAGCCTGAAAATGCACAAAGCGCCATCCTCATTGCTCTGCTCATTGGAAGGGGCCGTGTTTCTAAGGTGTTTCTTTGTGTCTTTCTTTTTGGCAGCAGGGGCGTTGTTTTCACTTTGCCTTCCAAGAGGGGAGAGTTTACAAAAAGGCAGGGCAGAAGAACAGTGGTTCCCATGGAAAGATTACAGATGCATGGGCTAAAGTTAGAAATACAGAAAGGGGCTGCTGCCCACAATCCTGATAGGAACACGTCAGGCCATGCTGGAGGGGAAGCAAAGTTAGTGGAATGACTTGTGCAGTGGGAAGTCAGCTCTATGGACCAAAATCCTTGAGCAACCCTGATTTGTACCATTTGCCGATTTCCATGGTGTGAAAATACTCCCACTGGGGCCAATCTCAAATTGCCAGTAGTTTAACAATAGGCTTGCAAAATTTCTGGGCATTTGGTACTCTTCTCTCTAGAGTCTGAATGAGCTGGCTCCAAAGAGGCACCGACTCAGTGGCTTAAAATCGGAAATCAGGCAAACGTATAAGCAACTTTAAAGTGTGAGGATATTGGGGTGAGAAATCTGTGTCTTGGGGTGGATCTATCCCTAAGGTGTTTCTCTGTGTCTATTTTGTTTGCATCCTTTTTTTTTTTGTAAGTTCTCCAAGGAGTAGCACTCCCTTGACAAATCACTGCAGTGGCATCTCAGTCCCAGGTGACCTAACCCACTCAGGCACCACCCCTGAAGTACTTAGAGCTGATGGTCTTCCTAGAGACCCCCTCATACACTTGTGTGGCATCAGCAGTGAAGAGGTTTCCTGTTCCCGCAGGCAGGCTGAGCACCTGGGGGCAGGCGGCTTGTCTCCTGGAGGGAGCCGATGAGGAGCTGTCACTTTGCTGGAGCATGCATTGGTCTCAGATTCCTCCCCTACCGGGCTCCATGCATAATTTAAAATAGCCAGTTACAGGCGTAGGAATTCAGTTCAATTGTGAGGAAGGTAGAACCCAGCTTTTTTTTTTTTTTTCTTGTTGGTTTAAAGTCTGTTTTATCAGAGACTAGGATTGCTAGAACCCAGCTTTTAAGTAGTATGGGTCTATAATTCTACAGGATGGGCTTATTCAGAAATAAATTCACATGACTCTGAGTGAAGAATTCAGTGTCTAATAATAAATGTTTCTTCCAGTTCTGCAACCATTAGTGCTATGTTTGTGTTTTGGCCAACACACTTTTTAAGCTAGGCCTCAGTTTCCTGCGTGCGAAATTGAGCAGCAGAAGTGAACTGAGGTCTGAAGCCTCTGTCCATCCTGGCATGCTGTGGTTCTGGTACGCTAGTGGTGCCAGGGCACCATTTCCCCACACTTTTCTAGAGTCTTCAATCCGTTTATACATTTGATCATTGGTTTTTGTATTCTTGGGCTATCCAGTGCTCTATTGAACATCGCTATTTAGCTGTGCCACAAATAAGGTATTTTTTGGCTACACAAACTTGGAGGGCACTCTAGGTTGATCTCTGTGAGTTTTCCTTAGAATCTCTAGGGTGCATTGCATATGTCTGTTTCCAAAAGGTAAGCTCAGTGTTCATGATTCCCAAATGTTTTAACTTGAAATCATCTTGTTTTAAAAAAATATTGTATTAGTCTCCTAGTGCCACCAACTGGGTGACTCAAAACAACAGAAATTTATTTTTTCATGGGTTTGGTGTCTGGAAGTCTGAAATCAAGGTGTTGGTGGGGCCATGCTGCCTGCAGGTTCTAGGGAGAGAGTCTGCTCCCTGCCTTTCCTTCACTTCT